TGGCAAATCATATCGAATTTCAAGGATGAGAATGGAATTGAATTCCAATTCCGGCCAACCTCTTTTTCACTTACCAGACATTTGTTTCTCTTGACTGGAGTGTCGAAACCCCTATGTCCCCTCTATATGCGTTCCTAAAGTACTTCTCCTTTGAGGTCTGTGGTGGTTTATGATCGTAAACCAGCAAGAGAGAGAGACCTACTGTGTGTGTAAGTCTTTAGTCGTCACAAATGGTGTTCTTTCGTTGAGATGCTACCGTTTTCTAGAGTAGAGAAACAGGTAGCAATGGTGGTTTTGACCAGAGAGAGAGAGAGAGAAAGAGAGAGGGAGCCTGCGATTGATGAGCGGCTGGATTAGGGTTTCAAATTGATGAGCTGTTGTCTCCCGATGATAACGAATGAATAAGAGGTGCAAGGTTAGTTTGGGAAAATCACTTAAGTATTTTAGGCGGGATAAATTGCAGGGGGCGGGCTAACACAATGCCACGTGGCAAAATTGCTCTTATTTATTAGAATAGAGGATATGAGTAAATTACACGATTCGTCCGTGGTGTAAATGTCAACTTGTATGTTTAATCCTTATTTTTTAAAATTAACTCGGACCGTCCTTTATATCGGTAAAAGTTGTACGCTTCGTCCCTGACAAACATAAAATGACTATAATGCCCTTTTGATTTCTTTTTCATTTAGCTTTCAGATTTCTAATTATTTTTAATTATTAGAAAAAATGTTTTACTTAAAATTGTGGGTCCACCCCACTTCCTTTTACCAGTTCCATCTTCTGTCCTCTAAACCCCTAAACACAACCCTGTCGACATTGACCTGCATCCCCATTGGAAACAATCTCCATCTCCGTCGGAAACCGTCCGTCTCTCGTTATCAATAACAACTGATCTAGACCAGCCACACCATCAAACATCTCTCATATAACCCTTACCCTTACCCTCACGACTCACTCCTCCCTCTTCGCCGCCAACTGTCGGAGTAAATCACTCAAAACTTGAACCTTAAAATCAAAACTGAAATCACTCATAAGTGAGTCAGATTCAAGCAAATCATTATCGTTCAAGAACCTAAAGCTCAAAAATGAACTCACTCGTTACTGAAACCGAAAGCAGACATGAAGCTCAAAAATTAAAACTGAAATCAAACTTGATACTCAATATGAAACCTAAATTCCAACTTGGAACTCAAAATTAAGCTGAAATCAAACAGAAAATTAAACCCGAAATCAAACCTGAAAATCAAGCCCACAATCGAGACAGAGAGAGTGGGATGGGAAGGAGATAGGCGGAGAAAGAGGAAGGGAAGCAGTTCTGGCGAAGCTGCCTCTCTTGACGGAGACGGTGATCGAAGATGATGGTGGTGGTGGTTTTATTCACCTGATACAGCCCTAGCATCTCCAATGGTGGTGGTGGTGGTTTTATTCACTTGTTACAGAAACTTTCGGGAAGAAGATGAGGTTTTAGAGGTTGGACATTTCCGACAGTGGAAGTTTGCTAGATTTCTGTAAGATTTTACGCTTAGATAATTTCGACGACGACACAAGGTTGCCGGAGGATGCTGTGAGAACTGAGAAGAGAAGAAGGGGGAGAAGCTCCTGTTCATTTGATTTTGATAGGGAAAGGTTGAAAAGGGTAAGATAAAAAAAGGTGTGGGTCCACTTTTATTTGTTTTTCAATAAAAAAAAACTCAAAATCAATAAACATTTAAAAAATAAATGGAAAAGAAATAAGAAAAAGCAGTATAGTCATTTCAAACACGTCAGGAACGAAACGTGCAACTTTTAACGACATAAAGTACGGTACGAGTTAATTTTTAAAAATAGGGACTAAACGTGCAATTTGACACTTACACCAGGGACGAATCGTGTAATTTACTCTCCAAATATAAAGCAACTTTTACTATTATAATTTGGGATAATTTTCAAATTACAATGCCTTAATAATAAAATATCCTAAAAACAATAAGGACAATTTGGTAATTTATCTTTGGAGTTTGGAACATGAAAGTTGTTATAATATGCTTGAGGCAAATACCAAAATTAAAGTTGCAATTTTTTTCATGGGACATCTAAAGATGAAAGAAGTCGTAGTTTTTTTATGAGACACCAATGAAATTGTTTTCAATGATGTAGATGCAAGGGCGTTTACGTCTTTTTTTTGCATGTATATGGTTATTGCAGAACGTGAAGGTGGCTTTTGATGTATCCATTAAAGTGGTTCTTCAGCCACCAAAGAAAAAGAAGAAAAAGAAGTGAAGGGGTCAAAAAGCGTATTCCATTCTGTAACTTTGTGCACAAGATTTTTAGTACGAAAGGAATGGAAAATGGGAAGAAAGTTTGACTTTTCAATGGTGAATGCTCAAGTGTTGATCAGCCTGGCCTTTATATAGTTTTTGATGAATTTGCTTTGTTATGTATTGTGTTGTGTAAGTTGATATATGTAATTCTTTAACACCAAATAGTTGAGACTTTGGGGACTATTTGGGTATATGGTTTTATGTAGATTGTGGAAAGATCTTGATTTTAAGAGGGTTGAAAATGAAATTACTTTTGGATGGTTTTGCGGACGGATTCCATTGGAATTGTAATCTGAGATTCCGTTCCATGAGACAAGCCAAGAGAGATGAACTCCTTATGTTTCCCTTGTAGCTGAATTTCTCTTTATAGCAATAATGTGGATGAGTCGAAGAGAATTGCAATTAACTTCTAAATTTTAATGGAAAACATGCAACATACAAATGTACTGTATTTAAAAAAAAAAAAAAAAAAAAAAAAAAAAAAAAAAAAAACCTTTACATAGTCTTAACTTTAAATAAATCTGTGTCACTTTAGTTTCTTGAACTCCGAGAACACTAATACCACAAATGTTTAAATTAATACCATTTTCTTCTCCCATTCTATTTATCACCTTCTGCATATCATCTTTGCATCAATTCATTTCATACCCCAAAGCATTATGATCAAACTCAATACATGTATCCACAACCTCAATCAGAGACCCAACATTAACACAGAGTTTGGTTCTAGTATTACCCTTACACGCGAAAGAAGAGTGATTAGAGGCAGCAACATCTCCTGTGCATATTAATCGCCATGTTTTGTATGGGTGTCATAAAATAAACAAAACCAAATAAGCAAGTAGATTAATGTTTATATTTTTTAATCTTTTTATATAGATAAAACTTACTTTTAATTTACTTTAATAGTAAAATGTTTATAACGTATCATATATAAGATGTAAAAACAGGTATGGAATGTACTTTGCAATTTCTCTAATGTTAAAACTTTCTGCAAGTTGTAAAAGTGGACGTATGATTTTACCTTGCAAGTTTCAGGTGTGTTTTTGATACTAAACTAATGTTACAAGTTAGGTGTATTCCGGTTTATCCCACACCCATTTTATACATAGTTAGAAAATCTATAATAGAATTTTTAATTGTTTAATTGGGTAACCAAACCGAATAACCTAAAAACAATTAAATCGACCTTATTTGGTTACGTTAAAACTAGTTTATAGCTTTTAAAAATCCGATTCAATAAACAGAAACGCTATTAAAAAGATGGTATTTGCCATTGCATAAATCTGACCTTTGGTACATGAGTTGTCCGCCTAAATTTTGAATCATGATTTTCAATAATTTAAAGTGTTGAAAAAGAAGTTCCATTATGTGGCATCATCTTGTTTCTGCATATCAAAAGTTTGCTTTGATACCAAGTTATCAACACAAAAACAAAAGTCATTGATCCAATGATGAAACATGTGCTCCTGAGGGATGCTTAATTCATTCAATTGGAGTGAATCTTGTCCCTCATACAAGACAAATAATACTTGACTAAAAAAGATTCAACCACGTAAGAGAAAAAAGAGAAAGCAAATTGAAGAATACGGAATTTTGGGTAAAGAATAGTAGCAGACACTGTACTAGGTAGCAAATAGACCAACTAATTATGTACTAAACATTCGTGGTGTCAATTGGGACTCCACAAATACATGTAATTTAATTGTCATGCTTGGGTTCACAAGAGGGCATTTTTCTTCCATCAACAAAGATCTCCAGTTCGTAGTTTCCCACATCATCTTGCTCCTATCACCCTTTGTCTGTTTGGGTGGCCACCTGCCCTCCCTAGAAAGTTAATGTGAATCTGTGTTTAAGATTCATATATAGTTAACTAATGTGAAAAAGGGCCAAGTGCAAGAAATAGCAATGTACTTTCATTTTATTTGTGTATTATAGCATCCTACTTCTATTTCTTTTTATTACAATATTACACTTTCATTTTTTTTTTCTTATTAAGACGTTGCACTCTAAAAATTACTTCTGATTTTTTCTTTTATTAGGACGTTATACTTCGAATTTTTACACAATTATATTAGTGAAAGATGCTCTATCGGATATCGGTATAATTGGGTTAGATTTTTCAAAGTAGAATGTTGTAATTGTAAAAAATGGAAGTAGGATATTACAATAAACAAATCAAAGAAAGTACGTTGCTATTTGCTTGCATACAACATTGTAATAAAACTTGTAGAAGATGTGCTTTTCCACAAATTTCAACAATTTAAGTTTTGAATCATGAATTTCAGTAAATTAAAAAGTGTTGAAAATGAAGTTCCATTATATGGCATCTTGTTTCTTCATATCAAAGAGTTGCATTCATGATTTTTAAAAAAAGAACACTATCTTGCTTTAATACTAAGTTTATCAACACTATAACAAAGGTCATCTATATGATGGAAGGAAGCATATGCAATCAGCAATAATAAACTAATAGCTAAACCCGATGATGCTTAATCCATTTGATTGGAGTAATTAAATCTTTTCCCTCATACAGACAAATAATACCAGGTTGCCTTATTCTTTCACTTTAACTCAGCTAAGAAGACTTGACTAAACAAAGATTCAACCATTTAAGAGAAAAAAACACATTGAGCAATTAATACTAAAGAAGACCAACAAACATTGTACTAGGTATCAATTAGACAAACTATTTATGTACTAAACATTCATGGTGTCAAGTAAAATGTATTCATCTTCATGCTTGGGTACACAAGAAGGCATTTTCCTTCCATCAATTATGATTTCCAATTCATAGTTTCCCACATCATCTTGCTCCTGTTGTATTTTTTGAAGAGATACAAGAAGAGAAGCACCACAGTCAAAAACATAAATATACTCAAGCGTTGAGATATCCCCTAACTCAAGGGGTATCTCTTCAAGATCAACACAATTCCTCACATGTAATTCTTTGAGACAAGGAAAGTTGATACTTGAGGATTCCCATTTTTTGATATTAAACTCTTCAAGACACAAGAATTTTAGTTGTTGAAATGGCTCCTCACCTGTTTCCCACAGGGTTCCCTCAAAGCAATTGTCTTTTAGTATGAGAATCTCAAGATTAGGTAACGATTGAATGATCGACATGTCGCTCCACAGTAGACCACACCTTACAAGTGTAAGTTCTTTCAGTGTTGCAGGGAACCTAATAATGTGATTCCTTCTGCTGTAGCCCGGCCCAATTAACATCAATACTTGAAGGTAATGGAGTACTTCAAAGTCATTTTCCTCACCATAGTAAAAAGTAGATATAAGTCTCTTGATCCTGGGAAAACATTTTTGAAAATTATCTACCCCATCTCCTAACACCACTTTCGTAGTAACTTCCAATTTCATCGGTTTTTCAATAGAAGGAAGATAAAGTTCTGCGTTACAGGTTAAATGCCTTAGATTCACCAAATTTGATATGTTACTAGGTAAAACCATAGAACTAGAACTTGTGCTAACAAAGAGGGTTTGAAGGTTCCATAAATTGCATATTGATTGTGGGAATGATGGCAGCCAAATTTCAAGGTGCCTTAAGTGAACTAGTAATCCTAAACCAGGGGGAAAACCAATTAATTTACTTTTATCTAGATGTAACACCCTAAGAAGTGCAAAGGAACGGAAAAACTTTTTCTAAATTTAACACCCTTCGAAGTGAAAAGGAACGGAAAAACTCTGTGATATTGTCAGTTAAGGTTGTTTTCTTAGGATAACACAAAAGAGATCGAATACTTGGGGTGGGCGGATGAGATAAACTCATAATGTCGATTTCTTGATTTGTGACCACACGGCGTTGCTTACGTGTGGTAATTACCTTATTCTGATTTCTCAATTTGTTGATTTGTTTTCTTATGATATCACAAAGACCATTAGATGGTGGTTCTATTTTTAGGAAGAATCTTTCTTCTTTTCCCTTTTCCACCGATAACTGCCTCACAAGATCATGGACTTTACAGCGTCTGATATCACCAGAAAGATACCGTTTTTGTACAATTAGAAGATTTCTGTCAACTAGATCCATCAGGTAACCCTTTGCAATTTCCTCCAAGCTTCGACTTCCATCTTCTTGTATAAATCCCTCAGCCATCCATACCCAAAGCAACCATGGTGAATGGATCTTGTAGTCTTCTGGAAACCCTCCCAGATAGAGAAAGCAGTCTCTCAAGTGAAGAGGTAGATGGTGGTAACTTAATGCTATTGTTTCCAGACATCCTTTCTCGTCACTAGCCATGTACGAATGAACACTGTAAGAAATTTTTAGCCATACATCTTTTCTTCTTGGTTCTTTTGCTAGAACTCCTGCCATTATAACCACAGAAAGCGGCAATCCATGACAGTTTTTTGTAATTTGCTTTCCAGGTTTTATCAACCATTTGGGACATTCATCTCCTTTGAACACCTTCTCACACAGCAACTTCCAACTTTCTTCTTCTGTCAAATGTTGTAAATGATGAATAAGTCCATGTGATTTTGCATGCCAAGCAACTTCAGTGAGGCGACTAGTAAGCAGAATCCGACTTCCATTGTTATGGTCAGGGAAAAACAACTTCAACTTATCCCATGTCTGTGTACTCCAGATATCATCAATAACAATTAAGTATCTCTTACAGTATAGGCTCCTGTGCAAGATTTGATGAAGTTGAGAGTCTGTTGCTTCCTCAAGCTCTAACCGATCATCAATGGATGAAAGAACTTGAATCAGTAGATCACGTTTGTCATATGTCTGCGACACAGTTGCCCATCCACGGACATGAAAATGATAAACAACAAAAGGATCAGTGAACACTTTGTTAGCAAGGGTTGACTTACCAATTCCACCCATGCCAACAATAGAGACCACATCCAGATGCTTTCCATCTTCAACAAGTTTGTCCCGTATTATCTCAGCATCACGATCAAACCCCACAACCATTTCTTCCTTTACTTTCTTCGATCCGATTGAATTTCTACCGCGGGAAGTTCCAGAAGATTGCATATGCAGTCTGTCAGTTCTCAGAGAAGAGTCCATCTTCATGTTATCGATGTTCATGGTCATAAACTCTATCTTGATAGACTCGATTGATCGAATAACAACCTCAAGGCGGAGATAGGGTTGAAAGACATTAGATATAGGTGAATACCTGTTGTTTCTACAGTGGACAGCGGATAGAAAGATATCGACGATATCTTCTGCCTCTTCAGCTGCAGCTTTGAATCTTTTCTTCAGTTTTCTCATTTCTTCAAAGTTCTGTAGATGTTGGTCTTCTTTGTTGAAAAGGGTTTGGATCATGGAGCCAAGCTCTTCATAAAGAAGTTGGAATTGCGGCCTTTCACATAAAATTGATTGGTTGTTGATCAATTCATTATCGTTGCAGTATATCAGCTGCTGCAACTTTCCCATGAACATCTGCACATTTGCATACATCTTGTTTATTCCTCTCGTGAAGAGCAGAGTAGATTAGTTCCTTTTTGAATTTTCCTTGTAAAATTAGGTGGGTTTATGTTTGCAAAATAGGGCTATGGTCCCACCGATCCACTAACTCTGAAAAAGTCCAATGTCATTTTTATAATAACAATTATTTTTTGAATATAATGCAGAAACAGGCCCTATGTGGCTATGTTATGTTGTTTTTTTTATTCCGGTCCAAGATGAATTTCTTTTTAAAAAAAGTCTTTAATTCATAGTGACGTTGGTCTTGATCAAATAAAATAGGGAAAATGACATAAATGTCCTACAAACTTTTTAGAGTTGACCTTTTAAGTCTTAAAACTAATTTCGTGTCTTTATAGGGGCATAAGGTTAGAAGTAACCTGTCTTTTTAGTCCTTCTAACCTATTGTAGCAGGTTTCAGGGACACATCGGCTATTTTCCATTTAAAAGTCAAAATCACATTTTGACCTTCTCAAAATTGATTTCCATTTTGTTCTTATTATATACAAATAAACCATAAACCTCCCCTTAATACTTTATGGGCAGCCGAATCTATCCCGTAATCACGATTCTTCTCAAAAATCAGACGCCTTTTCCTGAAGGTGAATGTGGACGCAGTTTGAAAGAAAGGAGGGCATATCATGAAGGTGAATGTGGGAGAGTTTTAGATGGCGTCGTACGTCCCACCAATGTCATCACATATATTTAACCTGCTCCGTCCAACAACTGGAGACCAGAAACGAAACAGAGTGGCTTGCTCGATCCGGTGGTTTTGATTTTGGAATAAGGCTTTGGTTTCAATATATTTACTGTCTCGATTTTGGGTTTTGATTGGTTAAAAGTTAGGGTTTCAATTTTGAATTTTTTGTTTGGATATTGTGTTACAGTCTCGTTTTGTTGGTAGCTTCATCATCATCCCTTCTCCAACATCTATAGGTTCTACCCACGAATCCAAGTTTCTACATCGTGGCTCTATCACACATCTTCTCAAATCAAAATCTTTGCAATCGATAATGTTTGAGTGATAACGAACACATATATTTGAATCATGAGGAATAATAAATTAGTGTTTTGGAAGGTGGGTTCAGACTGCAGCAAAGCTGAAGAAGACTAGTTTTACATACAAAAACAACAGTGCTGGGTTGAATTAAGATAACCCCACTACCACCAAGTCAAAGAAATCCAGGGGGTACAAGTTGCTAATGCATGAGGTAAAACTTACAAGTCTATTGGATTCTCCTCCCACACACAGAAACACATGACGGAAGACGACGCTGTTCAGCTGATGGACGTAAAATGACGCCGACAAACTTCGTATCCAACGAAACAAAAGGGTAATCATCGATGAAGAATGAAACTTATACCAAACTCGTGTTCCAGGTTATTGGCGTTCACAATTCGCGTGAGAACCGGTAGCGTAGAAGATGAGAAGTTGTCGATCGACATTAGAACGACAGTAAGAAGGCTCTCTGTTGGACGATTTAGAAATAGGAAAAAATGGGACGAAGAAGATGAATAGTACTGGGTTAAGGAATACTTGGTCAACAAACATCTGATGTGTCAAAGGGGTAACCGGATGACCCCTTCATTTTGCCTAAAAGGACCTAATCGACCCAACAAAGTGTAATTTGTTCCCTTATAAAGCCACAAAATAAGTTAAGTGGCTAAATGGGTAAATCTTAGAAACATAATAGGGCATATATGTCATTTTCCCAATAAAATATCATTGGTTGGTTTGCTTTTGGATATTAATTTACTCTTTCTATTTTAAATTTTTTTTGTACTAATCAAATTTAAAGGGCCCACACACAACCACCACCCCACCCACCCCATTGTTATCCCCTCCCATCTCCCATCTCCCAATTTTCCTATTATAATGCCATGGAAGCTACAAAATCAATCAAACCCATCGTAGGACAATATTACCAGTTTTACACTCCGATAATAGCATTTGAAACAGTGCCAAAGAAGCTTCAAGTAATCTCATCATACTCCCCCAAGCAAATTTAAAGTGGCATTCGGGTAGGATGTAGAAGTGTAAGACGGATAATAAAGTTTTCTACAAGGAATTTACAAAGAATGTATAAATTTAAAGAATATATTGATAATTTTGTTATCAATGAAAGTAATGATCTGGGAATCTAACAACTTATGAAATATCTTTAGTGAAATTTTCAAAAGAAAGACTTATATTAAAGCTAACCAGTTTGTAACATGTAACACCCAAATTTTTCAAACAAATTTTTCACATTTTAAAAACATACTTTCATTCACAATATTATAAAAATCTCAATGTATCACATAACACTCCATAAAACATATCCCAAGATCATATATATAACAAGCTCCTCACGTGTGTACTGATCATGCCGGCGCCTTCCCGCGATCCTCACTGGTACCTGAAACACATAACACAACACTGTAAGCATAAATGCTTAGTGAGTTCCCCAAAATACCACACACAACACATATTAGCCACTCAAGGCTATAACTCTGTTTGACCCTCTGGTCAATGTGTCTCAGTGGGACCCTCCAGTCCCATAACTCTATGGGCCCTCTGGCCCTAACTCTGTGGACCTTTCGGTCCTAACTCTGTAAACTCTGTAACATACATAGCATAAAGCACATAGAAATCACATCATGCAAAAACATACAAATACTCTGTCACATAACACTAATTACCACTCTAGGTAAAGTATAGTGAGAAGACTCACCTCGGGTGACTCGGTAAATCTCGAACCCTGAATTACTGTGCTAGCCTTCGCCTAATCACATAAATAATTTCTCCAATTAATACAACTTTTAAAGGCTAGGTCAACCCCTCTCTATAAGTTCTCTAAGAAGGGCAAAAGACCAATCTACCCCTCTAATGGCTCATAAGTCCAACCACTGACTAAACCCTAAAAGTCAATAAAAGTCAACGGTCAACATTGACCGGACTCGCCGAGTGCAATATAGTGACTCGGCGAGTACATGCCTGTACTCTTCGTCCCCGGTCCTTCCTTGACTCGTTGGTCAACCCGGTGCTCCATGGGTCGTCACAGGTCGCGAGTCGCGGGGCAACCCGACTCAACTCGTCGAGTCTGCTCATGGACTCGGCGAGTTCATTCCATGCTCACACTCAAACGACCTTCTGAGGTCAGATCTGTTCCTCTAATCCATAGATCTGGCCTTCCCAACCACTATAATCACGTAAAGGTCCGACCTTTACACTCATGCAATGACCATAAAGCTTCTTTGGGTGAAATATCCCCTAAAATGGCACCCTAGGGCCATATCTCTAATGGAATAGCAAAAAGCAAGATGGATAGGACTCTCTGGACCTCTTAAGGTCCAGATCTAAGAAGAACTCCACCTTGGGACCTCACATACTTCGAATCCAAGCCAAAGAAGACATAAGAAAACCCTAGATTCAACTAGAACACCAAATACACGAGTTTGAGCACATATTAGTACCTCTAGTAGCCTCCTCTGATGAAATGGGTGATAGATCTGAGCTCCTCAACCTTCCTTGTTTGTCCTCCTTCCTCTTTCTTGCAAAAATTACACTTAGAATGATGAGTTAGCCCTCCTCTTGCACAACAAGCCTTCTCTCTGCTCTCTAGGGTTTCTCAGGGGTATGGTAGCCGCAAATGGTGGCTATAAAGGCCCTTAAATAGGGCTTAGTCCCCGAGAATTAGGGTTTCATTAAACAGCGTGGACTCGCCGAGTCCATGAATGGACTCGCCGAGTCCTTCATTAAACCAGACCAATACATGCGCGATCCCACTCGGCGAGTCTGAGCGTCTACTCGCCGAGTCCCTCTCTGAAATTCGATATAAATACATAAAATAAGATACCTGGGGAATCCGGATGTTACAATTCTCCCCCACTAGAATCAGACTTCGCCCTCGAAGTCCTGCTCGATAAACAACTCCGGATGCTGCTCCTGCATCTCCCACTCCGGCTCCCAGGTCAGCTCGGACCCCTTCCGATGTTGCCACTGGACCTGCACCAGTGACACCTCCTTGTTCCTCAGAACCTTGATCTTCCGATCCCGGATCGCGATTGGCCTTTCCACATAATTCAGGCTCGCATCCACCTGAATATCCTCCAGTGGTACTACCGCCGACTCGTCGGCTATACACTTCCTCAACTGGGACACGTGGAAGGTATCATGAATCTGGCTCAACTCCGCAGGTAGCTCCAACCGATATGCTACCTTGCCCACTCTCGCGGTCACCCTGAATGGACCGATGTACCGGGGCCCCAGCTTGCCCCTCTTCCTGAATCGGATCACTCCTTTCCAAGGAGATACTTTCAGGAGTACAAAGTCCCCCACCTGGAACTCCAGCTTGGATCGTCGCCGATCCGCATAACTCTTATGACGGCTCTGAGCCGTCAGTAACCTCTGTCTAACCTGTTGTATCTGCTCTGTCGTCTGAAGCACTATCTCAGTGCTACCCATCACACGCTGCCCTACCTCTCTCCAACAAATGGGAGTCCGACACCTCCTCCCGTACAACAACTCGAAGGGAGGCATACCAATGCTAGAATGGTGGCTGTTGTTGTAGGAAAACTCAGCCAACAGCAGATACGTGTCCCAACTTCCTCCGAAGTCCAACACACATCCCCGGAGCATGTCCTCGAGCGTCTGAATCGTCCGCTCACTCTGTTCGTCCGTCTGGGGGTGGTAGGCGGTACTGAAATGCAACCTCGTACCCAACTCCTCGTGGAACTTCTTCCAGAACCTGAAAGTGAAACGTACATCTCGATCTGACACGATCGAGATCGGTACCCCATGACGCGATACCACCACCCTCACATACAACTCTGCCAACCTCTCGGCAGAAGAGCTCTCACTGATAGCAAGAAAATGCGCGCTCTTCGTCAGTCGGTCGACGATCACTCAAATTGCATCGACACCCCTCGCGGTCCTCGGCAATTTGGTGATGAAGTCCATGGAAATCTGTTCCCACTTCCACTGGGGAACCTCAAGCGGCTGCAACTTGCCA